TCTCTCTCTCTCTCTCTCTCTCTCTCTCTCTCTCTCTCTCTCTCTCTCTCTCTCTCTCTCTCTGTGTGTGTGTGTGTGTGTGTGTGTGTGTGCCACGTACTGACCAGCGAAAGGTGTCGCCTTGATGCAGGCATGGACGCACTGAGGACGAAGCTGGAGCGATGCGTCACAGGTAAGTCATCAAGCAAGTCCCCTGGCCTCTGCCATAGCCGAACCTCTCCCTAACTCCCGCTGCAGCCACTGCAGCTCAAGCTCGTGACTGAAACCTAACGCAGCGCCCAGCGCTGGAAGACTACTCAGTCCTACCTATCGTCGACTACAACTACTACCCGAAGAATGCCGGAATGAATGCCTACCGAATGGACGTGTGGGCCAGCTATATACAGTGCTGGTCCGGCCTTTGCCCATCCCTGAATCGAATCACGGCCATCCAATCTAACCTGATATCGGCGGCGCAAATTAACTGGCGCCCAAGTGCTAAACTTGTAGCCTAAAACGGCCTACACCTAACCTGGTCTGGTGCACAAAACGAAACAGTGGACAGACCGCACCAGAGTCTGGCGCCAAACTGCGCCAGGGTCTAGCCTGCTGGTACTGCCTACTGAAATGACACGGACCCTAAAACGGACCCTAGAACTGACCCTGAGCCTCCTAGAACCCCTAGTCCCACTGGTCGGGCCCTGTAGGGGCCGGTGTGGGATCTGAGTATGCCACAGTTCCACACCCTGCATTGGACAAAGCGCCAAAATCTGGGTCCACCCAGTAGACCACACTGCATGGTCCGAAGCTACAATATGTGTGACAACCTTCCATGGGCCAAAGCTTCAGGGACACTGGAGAAATTATGCATTTGTGATCCGAACGGCATGTCAAGCTGGTTAACAGCTCAGCTTCAACTTCTTTTCCTGTCTGGTTTTCCTCCTTTTTTTATAAACAAAAAAAAAGGTCCTGGGTGTAGTAGAGGGTGGTGGCCAGGCCTCGGGAGGTGCCCATAGTACTCATCCATTGGGAGGTCAGATGGATTGCAGGGACCCAGGGGGAGTCACCTCAAGATGGCACCATGGTACCATGACCTATGCTAATGCTCAAATCGCAAGTTGTGATCTGCAGCAATGCTTACTGGACTAACCCGAACGTCTTCGTGCAGACACTACCCTAACTCTAATGTTAAGGACGACCCCGACACGGGTGGGGTCCATGCTGGTTTTCCACGGCTTTCTTTCTTTTTTTTTTTGCAATAACGTACTGGCGGGGACGGCAACCAGACTGCAGTTCCCCGGAATAAAAAGGAGCCATGACCTTCAGATCATGTTTAAAAGAGGAAGAAGAAAAGCAAGAAGAAAAAGAAACAGAAACCAATCAACATTGATCAATTTGGGTATGATTACTAGAGGGCCAGCTTGTTGTGGGCAATTCCATCATTCACGGTAGCAACTGCATGCTTCCATTTCAAGTTTGAAGGCTGAACCCATGGCAACACACGGTTCATCACAGTCCTACCTTAAGAAGCTTGTTACGTAAGAGCTGGATCTGTTCATTCATCTCCTCCGAATTCACTTCCTGTAACAAGAACCAACATACCAGTCCACCACAATCACATCTACATTAGACATCCCACATATAACAAAAGAGAGTCAAGCAGGGGCTACGTCTTCCCCAAACACAGGGAACCATTGGGCTGAGGGCACGAAGCCCAGTGTAAGGAGTGATGGACTCCATGCAGAGGGCATTGTCACACTGGGGCATTTTAGAGTGAACACTTCCCTGCTTGAGGCCATGTGTAATTTTTTCTGGAAACTGCAATAATGTATCTGATCACTGTTAGAATCCTATCGGAAACATCATCGTTGTTTTGCCTCCAGAACTCTCATAAGACCCCCCCCTGCTCTCTCTCTCTCTCTCTCTCTCTCTCTCTCTCTCTCTCTCTCTCTCTCTCTCTCTCTCTCTCTCTC